GTGTGTGTGTGTGTGTACCTTTAGGGATGGAGTAGAGGTAGGTTTCCTGGCTCATGGCGGCCAGCAGGGGCAGAGCGCTGACATAGACCCGCACCTTGGCGTCGCTGTTGTCCTCCCAGGTGTAATCCTGGACCATGTTGAGCAGGCCGCGGACCAGGTAGAGCACGCCATGCTCTGGATGGTCCTGCAAACGCATTCACACACACACTTATATAGCTATAGAGGGGGTTTCAGGGAGATTAGCCTGTTCATCTTCCTCTCCTCTGACTCTAAATCCACAGAAAGGAGAATGATGGATGTTACCGGGACAACCAGCAGCGTAGCCAGGAAGTTGTTGATGAAGTCGAGCAGGAAGCTCTCAGAAGAGCGAAGTTTCCCCTCCACGCTGATGGAGCGAGGAACGTCCGGAAGAATACCGACCGCTGCCTTTAGGAAAGCGTCCGCTGGAGGTGTGGAAGGAAGGATGGAGAGAGGGAGGAGGGTAACAAGGACGGGAGGTAATGAGGCAAAAGGAAGGCAAAGGGAAGGAATATAGAGTTAGAAAGAAAGGGAGGGGAGAAGGAAAAAAGGAAGGATTCAAGGGAAGAAGAGAGGAAAGGAGTGAGATAACAAATTTCTACAACAAAGCAAAACATACTAACATACATAAACAGATTTTGTTAAATCTGAGAGGAAGCGGCGGCTCACCCTGAGAGAGACACTGGTTTGCCAACGCAACCTGACCAGACAGCAGATAGAGGCTGAGACGACTGAAGATGCTGCTGAGAGACGGGATGGTGATGAAACTGTAGGCAGCACACGCCTGGAGGAGAGGGAAAGATAACAGTCCTCTTATTAGCATCAGGTATCTGAAGCCAATGCTGGCACTGCTGGAACGTCTTCCTGCAGGAATGTACGGTGGCCTGCAGGGGGGGTCAGCTGCCATGCGTAGTTGACTCACCCTGACGAAAGCGGCCGTTTTTCTGGAGTGACTCCCTCTCATCACCCTGCCGGTCTCCATCGCCAGCTGGTTCACCGTCTGGAAGAAGACAAGGTGAACATTAAGGATGATGTGTGTGTGTGTGTGTGTGGGTGTAGGTGTGTGTGCGTGAATGTAACACACAAGCCGAGCATTCGGATTTATACTGACGTGAATGAGCTGCACCAGCACTGGCTCCAGGTTGCAGAAAGTGGCTCTGGCCTCCACGCAGAAACTCAACTGCTGCTCGAAGTCACGACCAAAAGAAACCTACACAGAGAGTATATGAGTGTAAGAAGAGAGAAAAAGAGTTCTCAACAACTGTATTATAGTACATTTACTTGTATGACGTTTGAGGTTTAATCAAAGGATTATGATTGTGTCGTTTTGGTTGTTCACGGGTCAAACAAAGATATGAAAATTAAGAATGAACTGTTGCATTGGTTCATTTTTTTTAAAAACATTTTCTGAACATTTAGAGGTCAAAAGAAAGTTGAATCGGTAGGAAAAACGCTTCATGACTGAGTGACACGTTTGTTTCATTCCAC